AGGTGTAAAGAAGGACAATGAACATCTGGCACCCCACATTTCCCAACTTCCCTCTGTGAAAAAAGTTTTACTGACTTGAACCCAATGCAGAACAATTGAGGGTTGGCGTTGTTCCACATGGTGAATTATGGAAGGCAAATAACTGACGGTAGTTCTTCATGAATGTTTTTCGTAGTTTGAGGACAACCTCCCCACCCCCCTTTCCCGATGAACATCAGGTTTTGACAAAGTGTCTCAAAGTTTCCATCAGTATAGGTCGTCCTATGCATCTCTGTTTTGTTTTATGGAAGTCTCGGAGCCTTATCAATGGATGGATCACTTTAGAGTGCCAGATTCGCAACACCCATCGCTTCTCCTGAATTCTCACTCCTTCTAGGGATCTTGGCCGATCCAATTGATCTTCTTTCTAGTGATCTTGCTTCAATAACTGCTCTATTTTCTATAGAATCTATATTTCAGCTTTCCAAGAACGTCCATGGTGACTTCTGTGATGAACACCTCACTTGGCCCAGCCGTATGTCGTATGTGCCTTTGTGGTGAAACATCGATACCATATCTTGGGAATGCTGCAGGAGAACCTCTTATATCTCCATGTCATTGCAAGTAAGGTTTTCAATGGTTATGTTGAGTTGCACTGTACAATCTCGTACTTGCGAAAAAAAGTTCTTATATATGTTTCAGAGGAACTATGGGGTTGTATCACCGTAGCTGCCTAGAACACTGGCTATCCATATCCCGAACGTATTGTTGTGAGATCTGCAAATTTCGCTACGAAATAGGAAGGTATGCTCACAATCTTTTGGAAGTAAAGGCAGTGGGCGTAAACCACCGGGTAAGGATGTTTGGGAGTTATGGAAAAGTGTTATATGGTCTTCACTACGCCCTTTTTCGCGCGTAAAGTTGAACAGCATGCCGCACAGTGAGACAACTAGCAAAGCAACGCTGCGCACCGAGTATTCTGTCGCACACCCATCTCACCCGAGTACTGCTTTCGAGTAGGCTGATGCTAAAAAAAGCCGACAACCTGCCACTTCTCTTCACAAGTGAAAGTGCCACGTGAACTCATTGGCGCTCTTTTTCCTTTTCCTGAACTTCGTCATTCACTTCGAGCACAGAACGATACCTAAGCCCATATAAGTTATGAAGAGGAAAAGGATGGGATTTCATTGATTCCAGTTTCTTAGTATAAAGGACGTTAAGAGCAGGAATTTCAAAGCATACCCGCTCGTTCCAAAACAAAATTGGTGCCGAAATAAAACGACACTGACGCCTATCACTGGGGCACAGGTTCTAAGTAGATTGGATAAGTAGGGCTAGCTTATGCTACCTAACTAACCTGCATCAAACTTGCGCCCCAATTTTAGGCGAAAGAATCGTTTAAATTACCACGAATTTCGCCGCGTCCATCCGAAACTGGCTAACTGTACCCATACCCTTGTGGAAGAAGCTAAGTGAAGTAGGATAAGGGGTGTCAACTTCTTTCATGTAGAAAGTAGAGGAATTAGAAAGAAAATGAGGCGGTAACTCAGAGAAAATTTCCTAGCGGAAAGATGCAAAGCCGCCTCAGCACCGATTTTATTACCACCCATTTTGTACTCAACGGCCCGCGCGCGCGTTAACATAATTCAAGCTGCAAAACCCCTTCACGTTTCAAGCAAGTCCATAGCACGAGTTCCGCCGCTCGCGATGTGCGCGACCTAGTTTCGTCGACGATAGGAACAACCGCATCCCGCTGGCTGCACGTATCGCGCGCATGTGTGGCCAGGTTCAAAAAATGCGCTCATAGTGCGCCGTGAGGCAACTAGCAAAGAATTACCGCGCGCGCTGAATATCCCAAGGCTATTATTGCACTCATGTATAGAAGACCACACCATAACTTACGGGATTTCTTTGTTGAGTTGAACGTCATGCCCATTTTTTGCCTTAGTTTTCCCAATGGTATGCATACCGGTAGGAACTCCTCCCATCACTTCGTTCTTAAAACCCCTACCTTCTAGGGCATGACGACAACCACCTGCGGTTGGGTGTGTTGCGATTCGTGTGATTCTGGGTGCGCGCGGCTTATTGCGCGGCAAAATTCGGTGCGATTTGGACGACAGCAGCGTTTATCATTGGGGCCCAAATTCGAAGTAAACTAGGTTCGTAGGATTGTCCGAACCTACTAAAGTACTTCAAGTTTGTGCCCCAGTGATAGGCTTCGGAGTTGTTTGAATCATCGCGAATTCCGTCGCGCAATTTGCCGCGAGCGCCCAGAATCGCACGAATCGCACGTCCCCCCCTGCGGTTGAGTACACTCGAGTTTGTTTAATTAGAATACGACTTGCTAGTTAGATTTTCAGACGCAAACGTGGGTTCCTGTCGTATCTTCGCGCCCATTCGGGATTCTTAATAGATGATGAGCACGAAAGAAGTTTGGCTAGTGACTTCGCTTGTTTTCTCATTTTCGCTCCACTGACAATAGGAGGATCTGTGCTGTGTATCAAGAGAATTATCGAACGCCTTAGTGTCGCTGAAGAGAAGGACAACTTCGATGTCGCTTATGGTGAGTCATATAAAATTCTTACCGTGTTCCTTCCACTTCCACGCAGGACCAACATGCACACATTCTTCGAAGGCCCAGTGGCAGGAAAGTCACAGTCCTGAGACGAATAACTATTTACACAGTTCTGTGACATCGATGTCATAGATATAAATCACCTCACCTCCAGTACATTTGTAATAAGTGTGTGAAACCTCCGACCGCAGGCAGTCCAATGAGTAAAGTGGGCGACGGGGAGGGGGATCTTGTATCCGAGCCCACGCGGCGGATGCGGCGTGCCGTGTTCGTCGCACCCGCCGCGTGGACCATTCGTTTTCGCGCCTTTGCCTGCACTCTCTCGGTGAGATCGTGGTCTACTGACCGATTCCTTATCCATTCCGACATTCCTCTTGAAGTCAGCATACAAATTATTTCCATACCTCTCGCGCCCATCATTCTTTGGCTCTAGTAATTAACGTTGGAGACGCAGAACAGAGTGTAGTGGTCCCTTCCAAATACATCTCCACCATGGAACGAATTTAAGTGTGGGTACTATTCTACTATTACACCCCCAGAACTATTCTACTGTTACACCCCCAAAAACTCAAAATTTTAATTTTCGATGAAACTTCGCCTATAGGGGTAATCCGATGCCCTGATAACGAACATGACCTTCATTTTTAGCGTTGGCGCCATTTGGCTCCAATTGGCGCCAATTTGGCGCAAAATTGGCGCCAATTGGAGCCAAATGG